TAGCAGTTCAGATGGACCTGGACGACCAGCAGGAGAGATTGAGCCTCAACCTCCTTTGTTTCCGCCAATGCCCCTCGAGCCACCTGGGAAATGGGAACCATGGTCGCCAGAGTGGTTCACTTACTGGATGCTGGGGCGAGTGGAGAGGCGAATAGAGAGGAGAGCTGGAAGAATGTCGGAGGAGGAAAAGAAGAAATATTGGAAGAGAAGAGAAATTTTGAGGTCGACATTGTTGATCCTTGAGGCGAACCCTGGAGAGATTGCAAGATTGAGAGCACACCATTTCTGTCGATCGATGACAGACTTGTCGGTCGATGAAGAGAGCCCTAGAGGTCCAGACATTCCTGAACTTCCAGAACCAGGAGCTGAACCAAGTGAGAGAGTTGCAGAATTGTTTGAAAGAATGGAGGAAAGTGATGGCTATTTCCGACCAGATCGAGTTCCTGGACGCAGTACTGGGAGTGCAAGTGAGGCGGCGCAAGCAATAGCAAGACCAGACAGAGACAGCTCAAACCATGAAGAAGGAGAAGAAGAAAATTGTGAAGAGCCGAGTGGCGAAAGTGAAGATACAAGAATAGCAAGGTTCTTGAGGTCTACGATGAGCGAAGTTTCTGACCCGGACATGTGGGTAGGTCTTCACTATCTACCGTCAGGAACTGAAAGTGATGAAGAGCAGAGACCACGAGGATCCACGGATAGTTGATTGCAGTGGACAAAGCAATTCAAAGTTTCAGCATTGAGTTTACAGTTCAATACGATTTGCATGGTTGGTATGAAACCCACGAAGCAATACGTGCAACATCTGAACCACGTATTGTGCACAACGAAAAGTACAGGTGTAACAGCTGAACCACCTGATACTAAGGTGAATTTACAAACAAGTTTTGTGGAAATGGCATGAAATTCTTGCCGGAACAGTACATATGGGCTATGTACAAAGCAGACTGTTGAGAGGACTTACCTGTGGTCGCTTAGATGAAGCGATACTCAACGGTCTAAGAAAGAGCAAACCAAGTCGCAAAACGAGGACTTGGGCGTCTCATTTTGAGGCGGCGTGTTAGGGATTTCACTTTTACATGTAGTCTTGTTAGATGTGAGGTTTGCTCATGTACAGATACACATACATACTCGTGAGCGCTTTCGGCGCAAAGATGCGAGCTGCCTAACAGCATGACATGCCTCGAAGGCATTGTCAGCCACTCGCAGGCGTCGCCCCAGGGTTGTCTTATTCATTCTATAGGTAAGGCATTCTAACTTGCTGCACCCTGCAAAGGCCCCATGCCCAATGTAACAGAGTTGATGGGGGGGGCTAATGTGCCCAACGAGCTGCATCAGACGGGACGGCAGGAAGACTTGTTCCAAATGCTGGCAGTGCGCAAAAGTGTGCACGTGCAGCTTGTAGACTTTGGTCCGCGTGAGGTCAACTCGGACTAGTTGTTTACAGTGTGCAAAAGCTTTATGCCCGATGAAGGTCGTCCCTTAGGGCAGGCTGACAAGTTGGACTCCCGACGAATGGAAGCACCCAATTGGTATGCCAGTAAGCCAATCAGCGCAGTCGCTCTGCTGAGCGCCTCCTGCTCGAAAGTTGCGTGGCAAGAGAGCCTGCGCCTCCGCCATGGACGTTATTCTTTGCTCAGGCACACACCTACCCAGCAGTTGCAACAGGGCTTCGTCTGGGAGGTGTATCTCCGGTACGAGCATTTCAATTGCTGTGCTCCAGTTTCTTCGATCCATTACCGTTTCGAAACGGATCCACAACGCAAGCAGTAGCGGCCCTGCCATTCTGTCTCGAGTCGGGACACTTCTGAGTTTGAGATCAGTGAGCCTGTATCGGCCGCGTGGTGCACTAAGTTGTCTATTTTTTTTTTGGAGGTTGGCGGCATCCGGCTAGTGACTATATAGTGGAAAATGCGTTTGCGTGCGTCCGTGGAATTGGGGGAAGAGGAGCACGATGGTGTAAACTATGGGGCGTGTTGCTGGGAGTGGAATGAGTGACGGTGTCCACAAGGCTTGGTGTTAGCATCTAGGCTGTGGCACACCTTGTGGCGAAATACGTCAGTGATTTGGCTGTGCCATGCGGGTTTGCGGGCCTCGGTGGAAAGCGCTTGTGCGTGAGTCGGTGCCATTGGGGGAAGGGAAACACGATGGTGTAAACGCGGCGTGTCGCTGGGGAGGGGGATGGTTGGCGGTGTCAAGGGTTGGTGTAAACGCGCGCGGAGGATGCGACAAGTAGAAAGATGCACGGTCCACAGGCGGTGTGATACAAAACAGAAACGTGACATGTGTCACAACAACAAAACTTGTATGCGTGGGGCTCAACTTTCCCGGGCCATTCGTCGTCTAGTTTGTTCCTCATCTCCGCAACCGAAAATTTGATGCTGGCCCACCACCAATTGCCCGTTGTGAGCAACAAACATGTTTCCGTGATCTTGGCCTTTCTCCCCCTTGTTATGACTGAAACTCCTCGAGCCCCCGCGCAGCGGTAACCGTACGATTCCGAAACAGACGAAGTACATTGTTGAAGTCGTAGGTTTTTAAGGATTGAAAATCTTGACGGTCAGGGTTGAATAAGCGCTGGACTGTGCGTGATGGTTTTGCAAATGTGTACAAGTGTCCATGTTCACAAGGGGACCGTTTAATCTCTTTATACACAGTGAAGCCTGGACATTCCTTGCAAGAACGGAGTTCGAAACCAACAAGCAAGTACTTTGGGCTTGCCAGGTTGATCGTGTTCTAGAGGTCTTAAATGATATTAGATGTTCCTTGCGTGTGAAATAACGGTTCTCAGCGTTTGTTGTCAATGGATGTTCGTTAGCCAAACACCTGTCTCCTTGGCCCACTACAGTTTAAAAAAGAAGATCTCCTTAAGGTGGATGGGTCTAGTTGGCAGTCTACATTTTCAGTACAAACCACTCCATGTATAATGTTCAAAGTGCTTCATGGTCCAAGAGTGCATGTCGTCAGTGTTCCAAAGGTGCATGATGGGGTGTTCTAACCGCAATGTTCTAAGTAAAGGGTTTCGGATTTTGGAAGAAGAATTTGATGTTGAAAGTTTTTGTGTGGGGCTTTATATACAGTTGGAACACAATCTTCTATTTCTTTGCCTTCGCCTTGGCTCTGTCAGCTCTTCATACATACAGTTCCGTTTCACAAATTTTTGCCAGGAACGAGCGAATCAAAAGTGTAGCGTTCCATTTTTGGCAAATGCAGCATAACAGGGGTCGCCCTTCTGTGTCTACAGGTCGCAACTGGTAGGATCGGCAGGATTGATAGCCATACCATGCCCAAAGATGTTTGGCTGAAGAGAATGGACATCAGCAACACGTTTCAAGTTTTTGCTTTCTTTTTAAGACCAGTGGACTTTTACTTCTGATCCAGCTGGATCATGACCTGAGGAAGATCCATGACCACAGCGGAACATGTCGAGAACCCTTCCAGCAAAATCACCATGGTGTAGACTTGTCTTGGACATGACTTATATCACAACAGTCGGAGTCTCGTTGCATTCGACAACCAGAGTTTGAACACGAAGAGTTCAGTGTGCCTTGGTCTATGGTGTACTGTAGACTGAGGTTTGCGAAAGACATGCAAACTACAGTGTATGTAAATATATATATATATATATTCTTTTTTTTTACATATGTGTATACTGCACATGTTTTCTTATCCTGCTTCCCTATGCCAAGGCTTATCCTGCTTCCCTATGCCAAGGCATTCTCTGTTTTTGATGCCACCGATAAGATCATCAGCTGGCGCTACCTGCAGAGAACGAGGTGCAGGGAAGTTGTCTCTGGTGACAGCAGGGGTCAGGGGAACGAAATGATGGCCGATGCCAGAATTCAAGAGTCTTAAGCGTATAGACAGGTTTCCCCAAAGGGAGGCAACTATGTGACTATGTGATCATCCTCTAGTTTTGTTCTTGGTGGGGTGCCCTAAGATGTCACAGACGTCAACCAAAGCGGAGAAGCCTGGTTTGAAAGATGATGCCTGTCTTCCCACAAAGTCTCTTTTCGATTTGACGAACAGGGGTCGGTTCTCTCCCTCCTTTCAAGGCGGATGCCGCAGCGACCACTTCTTCGCCGGTGCGACCACTTCGCCTTCCTCTTTGGAGATCAGGCGAGACCACTTAGCCAAAGAAGAGTTGGATCATCCGTTGAGGTGACTCAAAAAGTTATCAATGTGCGTCGGCCCAGAAGCTCAGACTAGGTGAACAATGAATTTGAGTCATTTTAGTTGGTCTAAAGCCCGTAGCTTTGCACGTTCTTTTTGAAATATTTGCTAGTTACATTTTTTTGATTGTAGACCCTCGAAGCCACTTCAAGGCCTGTCCAACCACTTGTAGTCTAGTTCTTTCTGAAATTCTAGAAAGAGGGCCATATGAGAGTGTGCTGTGCAGCTACGTTACATCTTGGGTGGAGTTTATTGAAGGCTGAACAAGTGGTTTGATGGGGCAAGAAACTTTGTTGTGTTTGTTGACAAAGTGCAAAGGCCTTCGAGGTCCTTCAAGGAAGCTTCAAACGTTTCGATGTTTCCATGGCTTCTTTGAGGAGATGTTCCTCTTAGAGAAGTAGATCGCAAAAAGAGACCTGCAAGGGAGACCCTGGTGTTCACAGTGCGATGGGTTCTCGCTGTGGACCTTGGGGCCGAATGACCAGTAATGTACGTCCATTGCGATCACCTTGCAACCATGGTCTCATGGGAACTCACGACAAAATACTCCGACGAACCATGGAGGCCGTTTGGGCTGGTGGACTGTGGCTCGGGGCACCAAGAATTCAATAAACGGTCACAGAGGGCCATGTGAGCTGTTTCGTGGTCACAGAAAACTCCCAAGAGCTTGTCTTGTTCTTTTAGTATGATTTCCTGTCAACAGATGTGTTGCCTTCACATGAGTCAGCCGTCATCAGCAGTCACCGTCACCATGCGTTCCGGATGCTTGCTTTCTTGAAGCTGGTAGCTGTGTAGCCTGGTGCGACACTGCACCGCCTTCAGCCGGCTTCATGGCACAGAAGAGAAGGGCAGAGGAGACTGGAGGGTGTGTCGACCTGGTGATCTACAATTGGAGACTTGGCCATCTACTCGGCAGACCCGGACGCAGAATGCCATGTTCAGAGTAGGCTCATACCAATGATTCTCGAAACCAACATTGTCTGGTGGGATGGAAGCATTTGATGCGAATCCCGGATCTAAGGACCACTTCTCAAGTGCAGTCCTTCCTCCGAAAACTGCAACTTGAGCGGTGGGAGCCCATTTTCGAAGACATCGATGGTCCTACACTCACGGAGCTTGATGATGCAGATTTGAAGGAGATCTGTCTCGAAAGCAAAACCAACCCCACTTGTGATTGTTCAGGTAGTGCCCCACAGGATATCCTTTCTTGTATGACAAGTGACAAGTACATATTCAGTGTCAGGTTGACCGAGACTGTGTTCCATTTGCTGATGGCAGACAGATTCTACAAGCTTGAATGCGATGTGAGGTGAAATTCGTGTAGCAAATTCCTCATGACGACCCCGGAGGGTGCCGCAGATTCCAACAATGAAACGGATCATGTCCCTCATCCAGCTCTTGCAGGCCACACCCACGGCGTGCCATCAATCTAAAACATCTCGGCGACAAGGATTGCTTTAATGAAATCTCGGTCTAACAAAACGACATGGCCCGACAGCCGTGCAGCTGCATGCAATTTCAAGTTGTAGAGTTGAGCGCCATGTGTTGTATAGAGCTGTTGGCAGACTTTTCTTTTTTTTAAGCATGAAGGCATCAAGTATATAATCTAGGTACAACTCAATGCCTGCGTGTAATATGTGGTGGCTCCCACACCAGTTGTGCGCTTGACCGTTGTGTACAGCGTTGAATTGGCAGGGGTTTGAGTGATCAAGAGACCTGTTGCTGACAGTAATTCCACGGGATAGGCAGCTTGATCAGTTGGAAGTTGCGGGAGGACGTAATAGCACGCAGATTCTGTCCGGCTTGAGCGCACTATGCGTACATTGTTTGATGGCCTTGCTTTTGTTCGCATGTATGCCGCTGCATGGAATTTTGCATTCGATCTCTGCGAAGAGACTGCTCCAACATTGAGGAGCTGGGCTGCGAGAATCTGGTGATGAGAAAGAAGCTTTTAGGCCATGTCATGAAGTTGAAGTTGGAGGCAAAGTCAGCCAACGATTCCTGGCAATATGGGCAATTGGCTGTCAGCAGCACTTTATAGCTTCCCATACTGATGGGAATCCTGTAAGGTTCTTTTTGGAATGACAATCTCAAACCGATGAGTGGACAACATTTCTTGTTTGCTTGGGAGAGTCTTTGGATGATGCATTTTGAAACGGCATGGGGACACCACGCAACGTTTGCAAGCAGATCGACCGCATGCTAAGTACAGATTGTTTGCACGGTCGTAACTCCACAAACCAGTGGTTCATAGGCGGCGGCGGGAATCAATCCGTGAATCCGTTGCATTCGGCGCAATGATCGGTACTTTTGGTAAGGATGTGGCACTGCCGGCATCGGGAAACTCACAGGCTCCAGAGACAGTTGAGTTTCTGGCACTCTGTGATGTGCCAGCGGCGAGTGCAAGCGTGCCAGAGAGTGCGAGCGATGTGCCAATGGAAAGCCAGCAAACACACCAGGCATGTGAAGGGATATGCTGTAAACGATGCTGAGCGTACCAGGCACTTTTTGTGGAAGAATATGGAGGGGATCAGAATTCAGTACAGCATGCAGGATTTGTAGTATTTCAGTATCAAGAACCATGAATTGGACATGAACTCATTACATTCACCCTTTCATCCCTGAGGATATGACCCTGGCAGAACTGCATACTGAATGGGAGCAGTTGAAACAATTACGAGAAGAATTTCAACACGCAGCGAGCATTTTCGAAAAGCTACTGGAGCGGATTCACACATTCGGCGGATGAGGTGTTCATAGACTTGGGTAGAGTGCTGGAACGAACTTGCTTCAGGGGCAATGATATATGTATCCAACCAAGGCAAACTTAAAATTGAGCCATATCTGACTTAACTGACATAACTGATCCCTCTTCTCATTTCTTCCCTGCGATCCAAAGACCGCTCGGCCCCCTGGAGGACCAACATGTTCAGCAGGGTTTTGGTGAGCAAAACCTGGCGAGGAACTTTGCTCAGGAGGTGCTGAGACAAATCCAAGAGGCCCAGGAAGTCGCTTTGCCCAGCCCTGCGCGTCCCTTTGCCTAGCTTTGGCAAGCCCAAGAGTGCATGCGATAGTTGTTCGATCAAGAACTGACTGTCATTAATGCATTGGAATTCACAACACGCCCAGATGATCACGGACTTCTTGCTGGGATTTAAGCCCAGGTATTCCGGTCTTTGGGAACACTGGTGCCGGGAAATCCACCTTACTGCAGCTTGGCCTCTTGCGTCCAAGGAACAAGCCAAATGGCATGTTGATGTGAGTCTAGAGTCTAGAAGATATTCTGATATTTCCATTCAGGAAGGGCCAAGAACAACTTTGGTGCAAAGCAAAGCGGTTTTTTGAGGAATGCTGTCCTGCGACAGAATGTGGTGCCCACCTCTGGATGGCGTTCCTGCACCGCTGTGCCTGTGGAGCTGACAGCTGCCGACGTTCCAGTGTTCAAGGGTGAGGCCGCGGCTTTTCGCGCCTTCGAATCTGTTCTGAAGATGTTGTGAGGCCTGCCGATTTCCCATGCCTTCACCAGGCTTAGTCCCTTTAAAGGGACATGGTTACCACTTAATTTGTGGAAGAAGACGCTTTGTTGATCAACTGATCAACTCTCTGAGCTGCCAGGTTCATTTGAAGAGCATGGACGAGTGGAAAGGCGAGGTGCAAGCTGCCTTGCAGGACCCCGGAAGCTGGGTTTTTGGGTGGCTGGTGGCCAAAGGATGGAGAGATTTCGATCGCTTCTTATAGTAAGACACTTGAAAGATGAGCCCCAAATTGTTGCCTATCTTTTTTTAGATAGAAGCTTATAGACTTATAGCCTATTTTCATAAGAAACGCAGCCAATCGCAGCTAGCTCAGAAGACCACCTCCCAACAACTCTCGACTCTAGTGTGCCCTTTGCTAGCCACACACATGTTTGAAGAGACAAAAAACAACCCAACCTCACCAGACTTATCCCAAGGGCCCCAGGGCATCCTTTTTGATGAGATGCCGGCGGATTTTCGATAGGTGCAGGGTCGACGTATTAGAATTGTCTTCTTGTGGCCCAGGACCTCTTGATGAGTGATCGACAGCGCGTCTCACGGAGAGAGCCGGTCAGGGGCAAGGAGGAGACGCCAGCAGACGTTGCCTTTGCCACATTGGTAGCTGTTTATCCGCAGGCCGGCGGGAGAGAACGAAAGAGAAATCTGGTTCAAGAGTGTTGATCCATGTTGCATCGATGAATTCGTCAGCAGATGAGATGCTCTTTTCAGTGGAGTTGTAACTACCATCACTCTAATACCAGACATTGAGCAGAGACGCACCTTTGCGCAGGGTGGCGCCCGAAACGCCAACATGTTCGCTGCATTGTTTTTTCATACGCCGTGGCTGAAGATTCTGCCAACGAAAACCAGGCCTTCCTGTACGCTAGAGACCCCTGGCCATCTGTGACTGCTGCCATGAACGAGCTGTTCCACATCAGGCGCTCCCGCATGGTTGGAGCGTGCAGCTTTAGTGGAGTGTGTGGCGTCCCCGCGCTTCGACTCACGGGTTTTGACATTCCGGACTTTTGGTTGGCTGTTTGCGTGCATTCCCTGACGCCGTCGATTCACCTCGCACCCAGGAACGCCGTGACCATCAAGCACGCAGCAGACAAGGCGTGGTTTTTCTTGGTCTATGTTCGAGGCCACTTCTCTGGAACAAAACAAAGCACCGTCTTGGGAATTCTGCCTTGGAAAAGGCGGAACTCCTGAGTTCCTGCTTGACTGCCTGGAGGTGTTGACGTTCCAAAATGCTGATGGAGAGACATTGGCGCAGGAGGTGGTTGACTACATTGACAGTCCTGAGCGGGACTGGGAGCCAGCCTTCTTCCCGCTGGTGAAGAAGGCAACTGGTTTCGCAGTCATGTGCGCATTGTTGCCTAGCATGGCCCCCTTGTTTGAAGGCCCCTTCCATTTGCTACATTTACCTGAGGTGCGCATTGTATGCCCTGCTGGAGCCATGCATCCCCATGTGATCCTCGTTGATGCGCCTGGTGTGCAAGACGCCAACGCAGCACGGGGGAACGTGGTCAAGAAGTTGCTGGAGGATGCCACCGGTCCGTCAGAAGTGCAAGAAAATGCGACGGAACTTTGATGTGGTTCGATCGTGTGGCGAGTGATGCGCAAGCAATGGATGTGTGAGCTCGGGTTTGTTTTTCATGTTCAATCAAGTTCACCCCAAGGCCCAAGACAAAGGTTCAAAGCTGTTTGGTGCTGGCTGACCGCTCCGCCGGCGCTCGACGCGATGCGTCTTTTGCCAACCATCGCTGCGTCAGGATGCCAACAGCGTGGTGATTGTTTCCAACATCAAGCGTGCTGCCACTGAGCGGGTGGCGCAGGCAAGTTGACTTACTCACTGTAGAAGTGAGCCAACCATTTAGTGATGCTTGCATAGGAAATGCTCAGCGAAAGATTCCGGCGGCAATTGCTCATGGACGGTAGCTTCGCCGCAAAATCGTCGTCTTCTCTCCAATTTCAAGTTCCAGCCCGTGTAACTGCGTAACAGTCCTCCTGCGCATCACCTGCCACGAGCCGTGTTCTGTGTTCGATAATTTTTTCTCGTCTTGCAAAACAAGTTTAGGCCACTATGGGCGCTTAGCATTTGTGGCCTCATGCACAGACGAGTTGACACTGCTGCTTGGAGGCAAAGAGGAATTAGAAACTGTCTTCAATTCTGTGCAAGTGCAACCCTATGTCGTTTTCATAGCGGAGGCTTTACTTCAGGTTGGTTTCATCTTCTCAAGGTCTGAGCTGAAAAGAAATTTGAAGCTCAAGGGCGACGTACCAAAAGAAAAAGCGGCAGCTCTGCGAAATGTGGCCTGGCAGAAGCTGTCCTTGCAGGGCTTGAGCGTTTGATCGAAACTATTTCACAAAAATCTTTGCTCATCATCTCCACTGAAGGCTCCTGCCTCAAGTTTGTATGCTGTTGCTTGGGATGTTTCCAAGCCCTTTACCAACTGAAGAAAGGGTTGACAATGTGCAATCAAAGGTGGTTGGGGGGTTTCTTGTTGGCCATTTGCCAACAATAGTTGCTGCGTCCACTGATTGATGATACTTTCTTTGGCGTACCACTAAAAGAACACAGAACATGTTTTGTTTGTTATCCCTGCCGCGATGGTTCGTGCCTCCGCTGATTTTTCTGTTCACCTCACTGGTGGGTACCGCCCAGGCCAGCGCCAAGGAGAAGATCACGGCCGATTGCTTTGCAGGGCTCCGTCGCATCGAAATCCAAAGCGAGCAACGCTCGCAGTGCCTTGGCCCAAGGGACGGAGCGTGATGCCCATTCTTGGACAAGTGACCCCTGCCCAAAAGCGCCGTGCTTGCTAAATGTGTGAGCCGGATCTACTTGCTCTCCGAACTTTTTGCGAAAAGTCGAAAAGTCGAAAAGTCGCGAAAAGTCGAAAAGTGCACGAAAAGGCAACGATGATAAAAAGAGTCACCCGCCAAAAGGTCCCGGGGCTTGCCAGGTCCTTTTGGCGGGCGTGTCTTTTTTGAAGGCTCAAGGCTGACTCACTTTGACACGGCTGGAGATGTCTGGAAAACAGCAACCGTTTGGATCAATTCTGCTAGACTTTTGTTGAAGGGCACGGCGTGTGACTGGTGTCCAAAAATTCGATAAGTCGAAAAGTCTCGCTGCGTGCTTTCGTTTCCTTTACCTTTTCTCACTTTTTGACTTTTCTCACTTTTTGATTTTTTTTTGACTTTTCTCACTTTTTGACTTTTTGCTTTTTGCTTGGTGTCTTGCAAATAGATCGTCGCTAAAGGGTTTATCGAGCTTAGTAATCAGCACTTTTGGGATTGGCGCGCAGGGTGACGGTGTATTTTTTCTGGCCTCCGGTGGTGGAAGTTCACCTTGAAGCTGTTTGTTCTACTCATGATGGCTTTCACCATGGCAGTTTGCATTTCACTTCGTTCTACTTTGAACTCCTGTGCTCGCCCCGAGGAGCACTGATGAAGATTTCCGGCGCCGCGGGATAGCTCCAGCGGTCTTTACCACTTCGGCGAGGGATTACCAGAAGCAGCTTGGCGTGCAACGCATGTGCATTTGCTCAGCTCGGACTTCACATGGGTTGTAGTTGAAGAAACATTGCACACATCATCTATGTTTGTGGCCACGTGGCGTGGAGGCTGAGCGGGCTCTTGGACATAACTGTGGATGGAGGGCCGCAAGTTTGGTCCACCCTCAGGGACTCTCGACTGCAGTTCGTTCATGCGCTTGGGTGTATGTGGAATGTAGAAGGTTGTTTAAAGTTTAAAGAGGTATTGTTATCCAGATGGCGGGGGTTAGTTTAATCATTCTGCATGAGACGATGTCTCAACCTTCCCGGAGATTGAGAAGCAATTCAATCTGGTTCGATTTGTGGTTCAGCCTTGGTCTGGGTCAGACAAGCCCGTTATTTGTTTGAGCGCTGTCCGGGAAGCAGGGCCCTTTGTCTGAGGACACGGAGATTCCGGACTTTCGTCGCTGGATTCATGCTCAAGGGCAGAAAGCCCAATTAGATGCCCTGGAGAAGGCCGAAGATCAGTTTTCATCGGCTTGCCGGAAGCTCCAGGACTTGTGTTGGGCTGGTGCGTGGTGGGCATGTCAGAATCACGCGAGCAATCAGCAGCCGAACATCCAAAAGCAAGCATTGTGAACACCCCAAATCTAAAGCTCTGAAAAGAAGGGATGTTTGAAAGTTTAGTTCGAACACGCAATGTCCTTTGCTGACCCAAGAAGTGAAAGCAAGGAGCCAGAGCGACAGATTGAGACAGTACCAACATGGGATCCTTCAACAATGTCGACGGCCTTGAGAAAAATCAAGGAAAGTCAGGTGGGGCGGCATGCGTCCACGTGCTGAATGGGATGAGTGAGCTGATTGTACTTGTACCTTGATAAGATTTCGTTGTAACCTGCTAAAGCCCTGAATGGTTCAGATCAGTATGAGTTTTGTCTCGTTCAAGCAAACCATCAGAATCACGTGCAGCTGTTTGCCAGGCCGCAATCATGCGGACATTGCTAAGTGACAAGCTCAAGAGCAGCGTGGGCATCGGTCAAAGGACAGCAGCCGAGGAAGGGGCAAGAAACATGACTGTGCGCTGTCAAGGACAAGGCGCTGAGCGGGAAGCCAGAAGGGTAAACAGACGCCATGTTTCTGCAGCTTTGGCAAGACTTTGGGAATGCGCAAGTGCAGCCAGGGCCAAATGTTTGGCGAAGAACTGCCACAAGCAGCTCTATCCCAACAATGGAACCTTTGCAATCCGACATTAAACCTGGACCCCATGATGGGATGATTGCTTTAAGCCCCCACACCAAGGTTGACCCCATGATAGAACATCATGGCAAAACCCTGACCCTTTTTGTTGCCTCACCTTCTGCTCCAGGTGCCGGTGGCCTCCACTGGGGCACCTTCAAAGCTACCTGCCGTCGCCAAGGTGAATGGCGGGAGGATTTCAATGAGCTTCTGGCGGACCCCCTAAATCGACGCATTGCCGTTGAATGGGACCGAGTTCTGAATCAACTACTGCCAGATCACGTGGACAACTTGCTGCGTCGCATCGTGGACGCAACTTGGTCACCAAGAACAACACAACGGTACGCGTGTTCTTTTTTCTGGTTCCCACTGGGCCCTGGACACGCAGACTTTTGGCACCAGATTTGTCAGGAAATTTGGAAACTGCAGCGTGGTATGGATTTGCCACTTGAGCCCTTCCAAGATGCAGAAGAGCTCGTGAAGAGGCAGGCCGATTCGCCGTAGCTGTGTTCACGCAGCAAGATGCACGAGCGAAAGAGGTCCAAAGAGCAGAGATGTAAGAACTACACCTCCCTGATGGTGAAGCGTGTTTTTTCGCTCCGAAATGCAGGCGTGGTCCAGTGTTGAAAGGAAATCTTCAACGGCAGCAGATGGAGGTCTCAAGACAGAAGCTTGGCAGCACTTAGCATCACTGAATCATCTCAGGCAGTTGGCAATCCAAAACGATCCCACGCAAGATTTTGGCGTTGCGAGGTCTGAACCGTTGACCTGTTTAAGTACTCTTGTTGATTCCCAAAAATGAAAGACTGAAAGACGTCCTTTTCAATCTTGAACGTCTTGGTATGTTTTCCCTTGGTTTTTCGGTTTACACTCTGCGGTGCAGCAGATTTTGGTTGATTCTGGACACGTCGTTGCATTTGCTTGGACATTGGACCTCCAGAGAATTTGAATGAATGTGGGCTCAGTGTGCTATGGTTGTCAACGTAGGCATGGAAAATTGCCCTTTTGCGAGCCGGTCCTTTTGACAAGTGTAAACGCTTGCAAGGATCAAAGAGACCATCAAGCAGCTCATGACCCCCAGCTATGGTGAAGCCGCATCGGTGTCTGGCACAGGAACGGATGTGCGCCAAAAAGCCATCATTCGGAATCAAGTCGCTCGTCGCACCAGATGCTTTTGAAGTTGCCTCGGCGAGGGTCCCTTCAGACTGCAGATATTGATATAATTGTTTGAAACCAAAAAGATACACCCCTTGGTTTCAGGGTTTCGCGCCACTTTCCCAATGCATCCTCACTTCAATGGAGCTGGCGGCATGGACATATCTTTGAGACATCGAGAGGATGAAGAGCTCCTGCTACGCCCGGCAGGTGATTCGAACTTGCTACGTCCTTCCAAGAACTCTGGCTTCGTCCACGAAACTCAGGTGACGGAACGGGGCGTCAGCATGTTCCGCAAGGCGTCGGATTTCCTGGGCGGTGAACTGGACAAGCTGCTCAGAAGCTTGGCGGTTAGAAGGAGTCGGCTAGGGTGTCTCTTCTGGTTCCAGGCAAAGGCCAGATAGTCGGTGAAGGCTAGGCTATAAGTGATAACTCTACATATGGCTGCGGGTCAAGAACAGGATACTAGTACTTTTGTTATACGTGGAAGGTCAATGTTTATATGGTGTTGGGGCTCCAGGTTGACCCATCCTCAGATATGGTTAGCGCCGGATGTTTTTGCTCTTTTTGGCGCGCAAGTCAGACAAGTTAAGCTGTTCGGTCTCTTGAAGAGCGATCCATTTCACGGGTGCTTCACAGTAAGACGGCTCTAACCAAAGGGCAAGGCAAGCTGTTCTGTCTCAGCGTTGTGGCGTCGCGCATTCTCAACTGTCCGGAGTTCGACGAAAAGGGCTACAATGATTTCACACCTAGTAGATGACGCAACCCTCCAGTGATGTAGTGGTTTACACTAGGCAGAAACAATCAAAGAATTTCTTCTCTTTTTCAAGAAACACAGCGCCACACGCGGCAGTTGCAAGCCGCCATGAGATGAATGCGGACGTTTGACGGCAGGCCCAGGCAGATCTACTGTATACTAAAACTCTTATTCGATGGAAATAGCAGGTGGCAGGACTCGGCAAAAGAGAGCGCAACTCGGCAAAAGGGTTGAAGAAAAGTGGAAGATATTCTGCCAAAACAAGTGGAACTTGGAGCAGTGAAGCGCCCAGGTTGTCTGGAGCAGGGCCTCGGGGACGGCTTTCATCTGTTGTGTGTGGCAGATAGTTAGGGGTAGCGGGGTGCTTGGTATGTACGATCAACGATCGTGCGAATCAACATGCGCCCCTGGATCCCTGGTTGACCCCGGGTCAAAAGGGTCAACCGGGTCAAGCATGGTTTGCAGGGTATTTGGCGCTGAAACCATGCCTTTGACGTGTCCGGAGTATGTTTGTAGGGTGAGGTTCCATGCACCTGATGACCCGGTCAGTTTGCCACGCGAACTTGGAGTCCGCTGTGTTCAATGAAAGAGAAAGCCCAAAGAACTTAAGAGCCAGTTTGGCGCATCGATGCCTCGCGTCAATCCCCCACTCCAGGGACTCCAGGGAATTTGGTGATGGGGCCATCGGACCGGAGCTAGTCGACTGGTCCAGTCACGCCCAGTCAGCAGGACTTGGTTGAGGCCTTAACATCTGTCTTGAAAGCGTCCATGCAGCGCCTGGCGGCCGTTGGCACCGAGCGCCAGGCGCGCGCGCGCGCGGGTGGCACGGTGGCAGCAGGGACCTTGAGGGGCCGGGTGAGCTCTAAGGGCCCGAGATGTTGTGAGATGTTGCCAGCAGATTGTCATGAGAGTGCGCTGCCTCTGAACGACGATTTGATTGCTTACTTGTTTTTACCATAGCAAACCAGCACCAAGCAATACCGCAGTATTTGTGGCTTCGAGGAGCTGTTCCAGTGCGACTCTTGGGTGACCCCCCCTCCGTTGGGTTCCAGGCGCTGCGTGCACTTCAGCAGGGCTGCGGCGCGGCGGTGCGCCAAGCCTTGCAGAAGAGCCAGGCGAAGATGAGCTGTGATGAACTTGTGTTCCGAAATCGGATGGAACAGAGTTTTGGAGCAAAAAAAGCTCCGATGGATGGAAAGCTCCGATACGAGAGATCGCAGTCATAGCGAGAGAGTCGTCTAGACGAGAGATGTTTTTTGGTCTCAGGGGGGTTCGGCAGGCCGAACGAAGGGAGTCGACGGCCGTTGGGTGGAGTGTTGGAGAATCCCTGGATGTTTGGCGAAGTCTGGCACCAACGGTCGTCGGTTTCGTGGAAAAAGCTATAGTAATAGATTCATAGATCCAATTCGATGAACAGGGCCAAAGCAGCCATTATAGCAGAAACTGCACCTTGCGTCAGGAACGTCAGCGTCGTCGTCATGCTTTGGAATACTCTGCAGTTGAGGTTGAAGTGGCCAGCAAGCCAAGGTTGCTTGAATGATGAGGAGTATACAAATTACTGGACGTGTGTGGTGAATGACAAGAGTATGGAAACGGCTTTAGCAGCACATGGACACGGCTTTAGCTGGTTTCATTTGTTTCAGAAGGAATCGTTTGCGGCGATGTGCTGGACCTAGCCATGCTGAATGCGGAGATGTATTGGATCTCCGTTGACTTTTGCATATGTATATACATATATATATATATTCTTTTTTTTGGGTGGGCGGTCTCCCTATTTCCATACACGTTTGATTGATTCTCTCCGCCAAGGCCAAAAAGCGAGGCAAATCAGACCTCTTCAAAGGCACCAATGCCCAGCGAGTACTTCTGTCCGATCTCGCAAGAGGTCAGGAAAGCCGTAGAGTCTATTTGTTTTCCGTTTTGAGTGTTGGATTGGTTTGTTGGCTGTCTTTTCTTTCTGAAAACTGCTCTTTGCGTGTTTTCTTGGCATACTTCTCTTCTAAAAGGCGGACACAAGAAGCAGCGCGAACGGTGCAAGGAGCAGAAACGGCCGCCGCGCACAGGTCATGGTTGACCCCGTGACGACCAGCGATGGGCACACCTATGACCGGAAGCCGATCGAGGAATGGCTTCGTAACAATGACACGTCGCCGAACACAGGCCGAACTGCTGGGAGGAACGGTCTTGGGCTCCTGTGCTCCAGCACATCTCCAGCAAAAACCTCCCTGCCGTTGACCTGCCAGGGGAGGTGTTCTTGCTGCGACATAGAATAAGTTAGCAAGATGGTTTGTCAGATTTTGTTGGGGCCAAGAGGGCAGGCTGGCTTCAAGCTGAAATTTCTATGTGCAAGACTCAGTGTCCCTTTGCAACTGAAGAAGATGCACTTTGGTGGAAGTGATGTGGTGTTCTTCCCCGGCTGTGTTGCGAGGAGGTGCAATACAGCTTTATAGAAGGGCTGATCACGCGGCAGGGGTATATACTTCTGGTTAAGTAGTTTGCACTGGTCGCATGCCTGCAGGCTTGGTTTTGCCGAACAAGACGTTGATTCCCAATCATAACCTCCGCAAGCTCATCCAGGCATGATGGGTCAAAACACCGAGCTGTGATCCTGGCCATCTGCCAGGAGGCCTCGACTGCGAAAGAAGACTCGATCGAGATGGAGCTGGACAACATGATCTGCGCCATGGAGGTGGAAGGAGCGGAGCCCAAGTCGGCTCGCGGTCGGCTGGCGTTCGGCTCGCGATCAGCCAAGATCGGCTCGCGCCAAAGAAGTGAGTTCACATAGAAGACCTCAGCAGCTAACAGCTAACGTCTCCATATGAGTGGTTTCAGCCAAGAAAGACCCCAGCTGATTTTGATTACCGAATCAGATGTCGACCGGTTTTGATTCATGAAGCCACTCATATGGAGATGTTCAGGGTCATGCCAATCAGTCAACAGTAGGTCTTTGTTTTCAAAGGTCATACTCACCACCACTTGGAGGTCCATTGCCACAAGGAGAAGGGCAAGAGGAGGAGGATCAGCTTGACGACGCTGAAGGTGCGGAGTAACGTCACAAGAATATATTTGTTACCACGGACCAGCATTCTTCCTAGGATC